TGCAGGATAAAGTTTAGCTTGTCCATTAGCCAACACATATGATTCCTGTCGTTGATTCTTCAAGTGAACTACGTGAAAAGACGTCGGTATAATTGTATATCACGTTTTTTTATATTTTTCTTCAATTTCCTTACAATTAGAAGACGTGTCACCCATGCATCAATATGTTGTTTTACAAAAAAAAGACATATATTAGTGAATTACATAAATTTTAAAAAAAATTAATCAAACTGAAATATAAGACTTACCCCCCATCGAAATAGCCGTTGTCTTCAACCCCTAATAATACACCCCACCAAGACCGTTCAATCAACAAATGCATATCATCGTTGAGTTTGTATATGTCAGCGTAACACCCTTGGCTCCGCTCATGTAGATAAAAAATCAACTGCGGTCTTAGCCCAAAGGGTATTATCCAGAATTATTTCCGGTAGTTGTTTCCTCTCCACTTCATCTGCCGGAATGGTACTGGCCGATAACTTATACGAAAGCCAACAGTCATCCATCATGTCCGGCACGTGAGGGGGCTTCTCAATAATTCGATATATTACGCCATTGTGAATCGGGCTCTAGAATGTTGGGAGGGACCTCTTCAACGATGACAGTGGCCTCTTGAACAGTGGGGAGGCCTCTTGAACGATGACAGGTGAGTCAAGCTTTTTCTTACGGATTCTTCGCACTTTTGGGGTGAACGGAGACGTAATGGCACGTGCACGCCGTCTGATGCGTGAACTCCGTCTTGCAAGAAAAACCTAAAGTAGAGCATCCACCTTAGCGGGCCGCTAAAAATAAATTAATACATAAATCAGTAAATAAACAGACATGATATTAAACAGTGAAAACAAAGACAAATATATTTCAAACTTGCACGGTATTCACCCAAGTCATTATTATATCATTGTTCACAAAATGCATCAGATAACATTCCAGAAGTAAGCACTTATATAAACATTTAAAAGGACAACATATAGGTTTAGTGCAGGTTCAATGATAACATAAAGAGTAGTAGTTTATTCTTGAAACTTAAATTTTCAACACTATGAAGTTAGTATTTGTCTTTTGGTTGAAGTAATGCAATTCATTAAAGTTTCAATTTGCAGAAGAAGAATAGAATCTGAAACTTAAAATCGCAACGCGAAAATGACTATTGCAATGCGAAAATGACTATCGCAATGCGAATTTGACTATCGCAACGAGAGAATCGCAATGCGATTTTCATTTCGCATTGCGATTCTTTCGTTGCGATAGTCAAATTCGCATTGCGATGGTCATTTTCGAATTGCGATAGTCATTTTCGCATTGCGATAGTCATTTTTGCGTTGCGATTTTGTTGTTGCGATTTTCATTTCGCATTGCAATTCTCTCGTTGCGATAGTCATTTTCGCATTGCGATAGTCATTTTCGCATTGCGATAGTAAACTATTCTTCTTATGCAAATTGAAACTTGAATGGATTGCATTACTTCAACCAAAAGACAACCAAAAACAAATACTAACTTCACAGGGTTAAAGAATAAACAGTTAAACAGTATTGGCAGCAACCGAATGAATTTACTAAGCAATCTAAGTGAAATTACGAGTAAATTTATCATCAAGTTAAATATGAAAAATATTAAACTTTCCTCGTTGCGTAGAGTATGAACCTCGTTCTGTAACGATGCTACAATCTCACGTAGAGCTGCTACCTCACCACGTAAAGTAGACACCTCAACACGCCATGCACCATTGTCATCGCGTAAAGTACCGACCTCCTCATGCAAGGCATTGACCTCATTACGTAACTCCCCTAACTCATCCCGTGGAGGTGGAGAACAGGGAGATAAACGTCGTGGCATCTTTGCCGGTCGCCTATCATGAGGTGATGGTGGAGAAGAGGCTCGATGATGTGACAGAATAGGTGATGACTCTCGTTGTGGAGGTGTATATTCGGGTCGATCAAGTGATGGCTCTGGGTGAGGTGATGGCTCTCGAAGTGGTGGCTGCTCATCATCCGTGCCATAAAAAAAAGCTTACTAGCTTGCCACCAATCAGTGGCAAGCTCAGTTTCCGTGGGTGTCAGCCTCTGTAATGGAGTGTTGGCCTCCTAACAATATAAAAGCTCAAATAAAGTTAAACGTGTACTAGTACTAACTTGTTTATAAACATATGGTGTATTTTTGTTAACTTACATTATTTATTGTAGTATACGGTAGTAAATCTTCCCATTACTGCAAGGATCGTTTCCTCTTCCAGGAAATAGCCCTAGGAATATCATTAGAAGTTTTTAATGCATATGTCTGCATAGCGGGAAAGACCTCAAATATCCAAATCTACAAACAATATAATAACAAACATTAGTAATTGTTAAAGAATTAATTATAATTTTGGAAACATTATATAAAAAATTATTACCTTAAAGGCCCAAATAAAGCCTGACAAAGTGTATTTGGAACCATCGCCATACAAACTTTTCCGATCATCAAAGGCAGACGACAACTTATTCCATGTAGCTCTCCATAGATACGAACCCCACGGAAACAGGTTTATTGCATTTAGGTCCTCTACCAATTTAATTAGATCATTAGGAATAGGTTGTCGGGCCTCTCTGCCTAAAAATCCGGCTTGCAAAAGTATTAGAATGCATACTTGGACAACATCGACGTCATCCATCCGAGTAAAACCATCTTTCTTATTCAATAATCTCGTCAAGTCTTCCACGTGTAAATTCGACTTCTCCGTTGACAGCTCAGGAAAAACCCGGTAAAACCATGATAGGCGGGTAATATGTCTAGTGTACCGATCTACATCATCGTGTCCGAAGCGTAGACCGGTGATTAAGCAAAACTCCTCCCGCCCAAAACACGTATACGCCGGTGGAAAATCAAACCATATCTCTTCATCACGACGTTGTATAGTCTCTGGTAGATCGCTAGTCATGGTTTGAAGAAACAGATGGGTCAACATAGCATCTCCACCCGGATGTTGTACTTTCAGCCATGGCCCGAAGCAAGTATCCTCAAATATATTTCTTTGTGCAGGTGAAAGCTTCGACGCAATTGTTTTGGCCAGGCTTCCTTTATTTCTTAAAGTCAATTGAGCTGAATAAAAGTTCTGCAAAAACAATAAACATACCAATTTAGATATACCAAAAACTATATTGTGAAGATATAACAAGAACAATAAACATACAGAGTAGTAGTTTATTCTTCAAACTTAAATTTGCAACACTGTGAATTTAGTATTTGTTTTTGTTTTTTGGTTGAAGTAATGCAATTCATTCAAGTTTCAATTTGCAGAAGAAGAATAGTTTCTGAAACTTTAAATCGCAACACGAAAATGAAAATCGCAACACGAAAATGACTATCGCAACGCGAATTTGACTATCGCAACGCAAGAATCGCAACGCGAAATGAAAATCGCAACGACAGAATCGCATTGCGATAGTCATTCTCGGTTTCAAATACTAAAATTGAAAGAAACTTGAATGGATTGCATTACTTCAACCAAAAGACAAAACAAAGACAAATACTAACTTCACAGGGTTAAAGACTAAACAGTTTAGCAGCAATCGAATGAATATAATAAGCAATCTAAGTGAAATTGTTAATCTATTATTGAAAACACCAGTAAACTTATCATCAATTTCAATATGAAAAACCTAATAATAATGCAAAAATTTCAAAAGAAAAAATAATTAAAAAAACTAACCCTCGGTGGTTGAGTTGGTTGATTTTCCATTTCTGACCGTGAATGATTTCGTCGGAGATGGAGACTGATATCGTCGGAGATTGGGATTGATTTCATCGGAGATGGGGATGGATGTCACCTTAGAGAGTGAGAGATTGAGATGAGACTGAGTTGTGATTTAGGGTTTTAGGTTATGAGTTGCGATTACGGGATATACTGTGGACGGTTCAGTGTTCCGATATATTAATTAATATATTCGTGTTTGGAATTTGAAAAAAAATACGCGTTGTATACGAATGTCGCTATGTAAATCGCATTGCGATAGTCAGATTAGCGTTGCGATAGTCAGATTCGCATTGCGATTTACGTATTCGCATTGCAATTTACGTATTCGCATTGCGATTTACGTATTCGCATAGCGATTTACGTAATCGCATTGCGATTTTCCAAATTCGCGTTGCGATTTACGTATTCGCATTGCGAATTAGGAAAATCGCAACGCGAATTTGGAAAATCGCAATGTGATAGTCAGAATCGCGTTGCGAATCTGGACACTGATTTGCGATACCGGAGATCGCGTTGCGAATTATCAATCGCATTGCGATTTAGTTGGTCATTTTGGCAAATCTAAAAAAAATTGGTTAAAATCGTATATTATAAGGCATTTTTGGTCACTGAGGTTATTTTCTCTTTTATTTATTTGTATCCATCTTAAACTTTCGCATACGTGTAGACTATGTTGAACTCGGATAATCAAAGAAGAATAAAATTTCCTTAATCTCCGTAACACTCTAAACATTCATTATTAGATTTAAAATTTTAGTATCTTTTTGCGAATCATATTCTAGTTACCTGTTAAAACTGACCGTATTTATGCAAACACGGGATATAACATATAAGTCTAGAATGCACTGCATGTAGACAGGTAATTGAAATGCCTTGATACCAATTTTTGGCCTGAATTTGTTTCATGTGTTATGCGGGCTAATGCCCATCTGGCGATGCAAATGTAAATGCAATGGATTCTGCGCCGGATAATAGTTAGGCACTTCACGGGGAACTGATCATCGGAAATTCTCCGCTTCTAAATTAGACTAAATGTGCTTCTCCCGATTGAAAACATCAAATACGTGAAGTTCCATTCTAACGGCTAAGGAATTCCACTCGAGGAGGGGATTTGTTGCGGTATTGAGCATTAACAGTAAAATTATTTCCTGCAATTCGTTGCATTTGATTTATTATCTTTTTGGCCATCATTGCCACTTTAGAGTTCCAACAAATGAGATCAAATTACACTGGTGTTTCATTCTAGAAAACAGCACAGAACAACAACAACAAGAGAAAAAATAAAGGGTCCTCTTCTCCTTGAATGCAACTTCATAACACAATCATCAGTAGGAATCAAAAGAAGGACTTGTTTTCGTGACAGCATAGCTTTTGCTCCTCGGATACAACAAATCTCGCTTCTTATCAACAACAGCAGCTTCATTTTCTTCAAATTCACAAGGGTTTTCTTCATCAATTCTTCCCATCGCAACGCTGCTGCTCTTCGGCAACCCTTTCGATCCCATCCGCACCCTCTGTTGTTGTTGTTGTCGAAAAAGCATATCCAGTCCATCCCTATGACCCAAGCTCCTAACAGATGCAGCTCTAATAAGCTCTCTAAAATCATCCTTGTCATCGGAGGTTGCCGAGATTAAACTAAAGCTCCTCGGCAACCCCGAGTATTGTTCAGCTGCATGTCCATAGCTGACACTTGAAGCACAGCTTGTGAAACTTCTAACATATAGATCCCTGGCTTTGCCCAACGCTTTCAAAGGGACTGTAATGAACCGCATGAACTTGTTATGGCTATGCCCTTTGCTTCTCATTATGCAAATTTAGCGAACGAAAAAAGAGTGTGGTTGAAGAGATGGGGTTTATTGGGGTAATTAGCAGGAAATGTTTATAATTATAAGGTGGTTGAGTAGAAGCTATCGAGGTTGGATTTGGAATTTCGTTTTGTTCAAAGGCACGCAGAATTGGACAAACCCTTTATGAAACCAGCAGCCGTGGATTCAAGAACATGCTTCGAGTTGACTGCCAAAATCTCCCCAACATTTGATAGGATATAATAATCAAATTGGTCCACACGGCCTACCATCACAGAGTTCTCCTATGTTCCTTTTTCACCTTTTAAATTAATTCATAATCCACTTGGATTGGATTTTCTGGATTACCAAAGATAAGGATTATCACAATCGAGAACTATAACATCAGTGTTATTATTATTTAGTTATTTTAAGAACATTTCTGTTGAAGCTTGTTTCCTCGAGTCTTATCTCATATCAAATCAAGATTGAAAACGTTTGGAAAATTATTTTCCAAGCAAAGCCAACCTATGAAGAATTGATTAACCTAAAAGACAAAATAGTGATAAACATGACCATAAAGAATTCTAGAAAAAAATCCAGCAACCCACGAGTTGTACAGTTCTTTGCGAATACAGTGAAGTGATAGGGAAGTTCAAACATGCTTTTCATCTAATAAGTAAAAGTAAAAGAATTTCCACGCCTTGTGTTTTAATCGATTAATTTAACATTTATTAATGATGTTAATACATATATAATATAATAACATACGAAAAATAATAGCTCTATCATATTAAAGTTTTATAATCTTCAATCTGAATTAATAGATAATATATCGATAATTATATATTAAATATTGAATAATATTCAAATATCATATTAAATATGATTATTATCTTGAAGATTCAATATGAATTAATAGATTATATATCAATAATTATTATCGTATTACACTTTTCTCTAGTTTGCACGACATATATATATATATATTAGTATTATCAAATCATATGTTTTGATTAGGGATGGATATTTAAAGGATTTGAAGTATTTAGTCTTTACCGAGGACATGACCTCAAATAGGAAAGTATGGAGACTTAAGATCAGGATAGCTGAGTAGTACGGGTCACATCCTTGGGGTGTATCATCTCTGTCTTTTTTTTAATGCCTTTATAGAAATTTCCATGACTTCTACTTTTTATACGTCTCTGTCATTGTAATTTATGAAGGCTAAGAATTAGGGTATTGGAGAAATGTTGCATTAGTTTAGGTTTTAACCCATTTGACCTTATTTCTTCCCGTTGCTTGCTATCGTTGACTTCTGTGTATTCTTCTCTTCATGTTTCCTCTTTTTAATTTTAGTCAAATCTTACGTTTTTGTCTATATGCAGAGCTTTTTACGCAGGGTTTTAAATTGCAGGGATTAATTCTCATTACAGATGTGCATATGTAGACTGTTTAACTATGTATTTATTTTTTATTTTTATACATGCATTGCATTTTATCTTTATTTTAATTTTTTAATTGCCGGAGGTCTTCCACGGAAGCTGCTCTTAACCTGACGTTGGGGGCAACCTACTACCCTACCTCCCCCTTACCCTATTACATATGGGAATAGGGTTTTGTTGTTGTTGTTATTGTTGTATTTAAACCTAACCCGACCCGACTCGATCAGATCGGATTTTTCTTAAAAAAATTCGAGGTCGGGTTTAGGGTGAAAAAATCCGACCCGAAAAAATATATAATTTTACCCTATATATTTAGGGATAATTACAATAATATCCCTCTATATATAATTTTTTTTTCAATTAAGTCACTGTTTTATTGAATAAAAATATTTTTTTATTATTTCGGGTCGGGTTTCTATGTCATATATTCGGGTCGGGTCAGGTGAAACTTTGTTTTGGTCGGGTCGAGTCTCGGGTGGAGGCTCTCTTGTTCTCGGGCCGGGTCAGGTGGACCAAAAACCCGACACATGCTCATCACTAGTTCTAATAAACCAAATATGTACAAATTTAAAATTTTAGTTAACTGACATAATTAGATTAGATTATGTATAAAAAAAATAAAATTTTATATGAACTTATATTTAAAGAATCTGACATAAATATAGTCTTAAATTAATATAAGTATATAGTTCTAGAAAAGATTATTCTTTTTAGTAATATTTTTTTCTTTAAATCAAATACCTCCTAAATCGAACCTAGATATCAAAAAAGGTAAAAGTGAACCTATACCATTAAAGGAAATTTAACATTTTATTAATAATTGATAACATTTTATATATGCTAAATTCTAGTTAATATAAGACATTTTCTAAAATAATAATGTTTTTTTAAGAGAAACTGAATATAAGACCTAAATATAGGTGCAACAAATAATAATTGAATCAAATTAAATATTTATTTTATTATGGCTTAAATATATAAAAGGTATCTAACCTATGCTCTTTTTTTATTTCGTGTTTAACGTTTATTTTATTCAAGTTTAGTGTCTAACGTTACATTCTGTGACTCAAAATGAGACCGTGACATACCATTAAGTTTGGCCGTTAACCTGTTAAAAAAGCTACGTGGCATATTTTTTAATGCTAAAAATGATTTATGAAAATAAGAAATTAATTTCCATTAAAACCTTTAACTTTTTACCCCCTTTAACTCTTTACCCGTTAACCCTAAATCAAAACCAATTTCACTCCTTTTCTCTTTTCCCCTCCTTCTCGTTTGACTTTGGACCTGAATTTTCTCGCTCTCTCTCTTTCCCTCCAAACACTGATTTCCCTTTCATTTACTTTGATCCAACTAAAACTCATGATTTTTCTTCTAATTTTGGTTTGTTTTTTATGATTGTATGTTTCGTAATTGAAATGGGAATACTCATAAAGAAAGCATGAGCAATAGCCCAATTGGTAGCAACAACAACAAGTTAAACAACGACGATTGACTCAAGAAAAGCATGGGAATGAATAACGAAAAGAGTGGGAAGTAGTTGAAGTAAACAACCAACGAAAAGTTAAAGGGGTAAAAAGTTAAAGGTTTTAATGACGACCATGCAATGTTCTTCTTCTTCACAATGCAATCTTTTTATGATCAGTAAATCAACGAAGACTACGCCAATTTAGATCAAATCACAGTAAAAAAATAACAACAAAAAGTGATTCCATTTACTAGGGAGAAGGTAGTAGAAGAGTTGGAGAGGATGAAGAGGAGGGAAAAGATGACGGTGGATAATATTATGTAAAAAGTGGTTTTGGTGTTATCTTTTGAGGCGGTGGTTGTCGCAGAGACATTGGAGGTATATGGAAGTGGCATTAGCGACAGTTGGTGTTTGTTGTTGTGCATTATGGTGGTAGTGGTGGTGGTGCTATTGGAGGAGGAGGTTTTTGAAATTAGCAGGTGTTTTTTTTGGTTAAATGGGTTTGGTGTTTTTTTTGGGTGGATAATACCATTTATTAGTATTAAAAAATATGACATGTGGCATTTTTAATAGGTTAATGACCAAACTTTACGGTCTGTTATGGCTATGCCCATTTTGAATCACAGAATGAAACGTTAGGCACCAAACTAGAATGAAATAAACTTTAGACACTAAACTGGAAAAACGGACATAAGTTAAACACATTTTGTATATTTAATCATTTTATTATTAAAAATTATATTTATGATCAATTGTGTTTACTATAAAATTTTATATTTTAAATAAAATTTTGTTATAAATTATATTTATTAAAGTGGATGTCTACATTCATTTAAGTGTTTCTTAACTTACATTATTAATGTATGATAATATTAACCTTTAATTAGGTCATTGTAACATATATTTTTGGTACCTATAAAAGGATATACAAGCTTATAAGATATATACAACAAAATATCATTATCTATTCTTACATTGTGTTCTATATTTGTGTATAATTTCATAATACATTATCAGTACGATTTTGCTCAGAAATTTTTCTTACTAAAAATCAAGTATCGTCTCTATCTAATCTAAGTATATCATGACAAATCTTGTGATATTAGAATTTGTGGTTCTAGACATTTTCAAAAAGAACTATTTATCTTGGATTTTAGATGTTGAAATACACCTAGATGCAAATGGTCTAAGTGACACTATTAAGGAAGGGAATAAAGAATTTACTCAAAATAAGGCTAAAGTCATGATATTTCTTCGTCATCACCTCCATGAGGGACTAAAATCTAAATATTTGACTGTTAAAGATCCCCTTGTTCTTTAAGATAATCTAAAGGAAAAGTATGACCTCCAGAAAATTGTTATACTTCCTAAAGCTAGCTATGATTTGTTGCATTTGATATTACAAGATTTCAAATCGGTAAGCAAATATAACTCAACTATGTTGCAAATTACTTCACAATTGAAATTATGTGGTCAGAGTATCACCGATGAGGATATGTTAGAAAAAACATATTTCACTTTTCTCACAACAAATAATATTGTCATGTAGACACAATATCGTGAAAAAAGGTTTTTAATAAATACTTTGAGTTAATATCTTGTCTTCTTGTGGCCGAGAAAAGCAATGAATTGTTAATGAAAAATCATGTGTCTCGTCCTATTGGTTCCAATCCATTCCCTAAAGTGAATGCAACATCTTATGGTGGAAAAAATAAATACATCATCAACAATCGTGGTCGTCGTTATGGATGCGGTCAATGTCATAATTATGGTCGAGGACGTGGACAAAGTGGTCAATTTAAGAAATCTTATATATAACCACCAACAGTGTGATTATAAGGATAATAAGAGTGATAAAGATCATATTAAGAAAGCAAAATCTTTATACTAACGATGCGGCTACAAATAATTGGTCTCGTACTTTTCATGCACCAAAGCATCTTATGGACCTTTATCAACAATCATTAAAAGATAAAGGAAAGAAAATAAAAATAAATTTTGTTTGTGAAAATAAAAAAAAGGAATACGACGTGGATGATCAAGCACACTTGAATGTTTCTGATTATGGCATTGTTGGTCAAACTCAGTTGGATGTACATGAAGAGAATAATTGATATTTCAATTTATTATTTACATGAATAATATTTATATATTTTGAATGTTTTGTGATATTTATGTCAATTTATTTTTTAAACACCATGGTCGTTATGTTTTAAAAGTTTTGAAATACTTATATGTTTTGAATATTTTATGATTTATTTATTTTCTTTGAATAATATGATTACTTCTCAAATACAATATGTGATAAATGGTGAAGACTTATGCTTAGCAAACCGTGCAACAACTCATACTATACTTAAGCATAAGAAATATTTTTCCTCATTTAAAAATGCAACAAGCTAATGTTAGTACTATATCTGAAAGTACTAAAATCATAAAAGGATATAGAAGAACAACTATATTATTGCTAAAATCATTTAATATTACTAATGATTATTATTATTTTCTGTTCTTTTTCATATTATGTCTTTTATTTTTCTTTATTTTTCTTAATTTTTTTAATTTTAAATAAGAATATATGTCATTTTGACTATTTTCTCTGCTTTTTGTGACACATTTTTTCTCTTATTTTGCGGTATTTTCTTTATGACTTTTGATACATTTTTCGCTTACCTCTATAATTGTGTTGGTGCTCATGCAAAGATACTCACGACATTTATTTTCTAATTAATTTATCACCGGTCAATATTGTCAAATCTCCTATTTGATAAAAAGTTGTTTGTCAATATAACCAGAATTGTGTAGCGAAACAGTCTGTCAAATTATTTGATTCGCTCGCCACCCTTTTATCATTTCGTAAAACGTATCATTCATGAAAGCAATGATTCTTACAAATGTTATTGTGTTCTTTTGATGTTGGACGTTGATCTCAATAAAATGTTTCGTTTTTTTCGTGTATTTGGATTTAATATTTTATTTTATATATAATTTTTTGTGACTATTATCCTCAATTTTTTTAAGCTTATCAATTTTGATTTTTTTCATTACTTTTATTAATAAAATTCAGTTGTCATCGTTAAAACATATTAAACTCATTGTATATAAATTTAGATGTGTTAGTAGCAATGTGTACTTGGACAACTTGCATAACATTGAATCCTTTTGTAAATAATTTTGAAAATAGTTGAACCAATTCCAACCCCAATTTAAAAAGCATGAAATATTTGAAATTTTCAATCCGAAAGAATTGAAATTGAGCTCATAAATTAGGATATAGTGGTCAATGAAGCTTTCAATGCACAGTCATCAAGGGTTAAATTCATTGCCAACCGCCGGTCAATCGCAGTTAGCTTTGCTTTTCCCAAGACATTTAAATTTTAAAACTTTGCTTTCTCTCTTTATTACTCTCTATTTTGATCGTGCTTTCGGATTTTCACTTTTGAGTTGATCGGGTCTGGGTTTTTGATGGTATCATTCTTTCAGGAGTCTTGAGGGGGAAGTTGAGTAAGGGTCGTAAATAGCTTTGGTATTAGGGAGAGAAGAAGATTGCATTTTTTCCCGATTACTATCATTTCTTTCATGATGGGAATGGTATTAGTGGTGGTGGAGGAGGATGGGGTTACCCTTCAGACGAGATAAAGAAATCAGATAAAGCAAACAACAGTGAAAAACAAAAGAACGGGGAAGAGAAAAGATGTCCCCTTTGATTGGTATTGTGGCGTCTGTTTTGTCAAAAAGGAAGTAACATAAAAACAAAACTCGTTCCTTCAACGATAGTCTTACTCTCTTTCCCTTCAATTTTTTTAATCTTTACCGCACGCTTCTTGTTTACTAGATGTGATATGTCTTCTTCAAGGCTAGTTTTCATGTAAATTGGCTCTCTTCATTTTCATTTGAAAAAAAAACTATTTTGTCAAGTTCTTTTCTGTTGTAGTCTAGCATTTAGCAAAGGGTGTTAAAAAATGCCGATGAATCAACCATCTACTCGAAGAGAAGCCGACATGAAGCTCGACAGCCAAGTTTTAAATCTAGAAATGGCAATGAAAGATGGCATTTTGGGCGGCGGTTGTGGGGTAATATCCACCGGTTTTGCGTCAGAGAAATTGGATCTGAAGATAATGATTGAAGAGCTTGAGTCCATAGATGTGCCATCGGTTTTCATATGTCCAATTTCTTTGGAGCCAATGCAAGATCCGGTGACTCTTTGCACTGGCCAAACCTACGAGAGATCCAACATTTTTAAATGGTTCTCCTTAGGCCGTTACACTTGTCCCACCACGATGCAAGAGCTTTGGGATGATTCCCTGACTCCAAACAAGACGCTTCAGCAACTAATTTTTAGTTGGTTTTCTCAGACGTATCTGTCGATGAAGAAGAGGTCAGAGGATGTGCAAGGAAGGGTAAAAGAGATTTTGGAGAATTTGAAGAAAGTTAAGGGCCAAGCTAGAGTTCGAGCTCTTAAGGAGCTTAGGCAAGTAGTTCAAGCTCACGGGGCCTCTAAGAAGACTGTTGTGGAAAATGGAGGCGTTAGTTTGATTTCATCTTTGCTCGGTCCTTTTACAACGCATGCTGTTGGGTCAGAGGTTATTGGAGTTATTGTGAACTTGAATCTTGATTCCAATTCTAAGTCTGATTTGTTGCAGCCTACTAAAATATCTTTAATGGTAGATATTTTAAATGAAGGGTCGATTGAGACCAAGATCAACTGCACGAGGTTGATTAGGATGTTGATGGAAGGGAACGATGTTGCATCAGAAAGTGTTGCAAGTTTGAGTCTTTTAGTTGGGTTGCTTAGATTAGTGAAAGATAAGAAGCACCAAAATGGGGTATTGGCTGGATTGAGTTTGCTGAAAGTAATTTGTTCTCATGAATCGGTTAGGAACTCTCTTGTCAACGTTGGGGCAGTTCCTCAATTGGTTGAGCTGATGCCTGGTTTGAATAATGAGTGTTTGGAATTAGTCCTTTATATATTGGAGCTTTTGTCAAACATTCCTCAAGGAAGATTGGCTTTGAAAGATTGCCCAAATACCATACCAAATGTGGTGAAATTATTGATGAAAGCTTCAGAAAACTGTACGCAGCTTGCAGTGTCAATACTGTGGGCCATTTGCAAGTTTGCTCCCGAGGAATGTGCTTCACTTGCTCTGGATGCTGGCGTGGCTGCCAAGCTACTTCTAGTTATACAGAGTGGTTGCAATCCTGTTTTGAAGCAACGATCAGCCGAGTTGTTGAAATTGTGTAGCTTAAATTACACGGTTACCGTCTTTATTTCCAAGTGTAACCTCACGAGAACAATTCAATGAAGGAAAATTGCAGCTTGTTTGTTATTCTAGACTCTAATATCAATACAAGAATGGGGCTGACGAGCTTCCCGTTTCCAATAGCTCCCAAGGGAGAGGGGTTTCTAAGGAGCCCTTTGCTCTCTCTCATCTGTACACAAAAGAATTTCCATCATGTTATTGTTTTCACATCGATCACCAGCAAAATGTGGACTAGAGAATTGAAGTCGGTGTTGTTTGTCAATCCACTTTCTGTATGCTCAAGTTTCAACCCAATAATTCCTAGCAAGGCTGTAATTCAATTTGGTTGTCTTATTGGTTCTTTACTGTTTCAATCCACCAAAGGAAATGTAATTCCATACTCTTATAATGAGCCGAGTGGGGTTGGGAATCGATGACACAGAGGGAAATGCTATGAGGAATGGGTTTTTTTGTGTTCAGGGTTTCTGTATTGACCTGACTGATTGATCCCTATATTTCCTTTGTCTATATGAAAATTTACATCTCTATACCATGGTTCAAAGAGTTCTCTTTTGAGGCTCGAATCTTAAACTTATTTGTAGAGATTGTAAAACTCTTTCGGTAGCTATATGATAATAAAACTCTGCACAACCTCCATGTTTACTTGACAAAAGTAACAATTTGAATTTCTGAATTGAAGCGGCCTTGAATTGGAGTGTGTTCTCTTTACATAAAGCTTTTCTTCTAATGGAATTGAACTGTAAAGATTGTTGAGCAAATTTGAAGGAAAAAGGTGGTCAAGGGGTACCCCATATTTTTACTTTTTACAAAGAAATCGAGTGGGCTCATATCATCATTGAAATCAAAACAGTAAGCAATAGCTTGAAGGTGAGGCTTTTGCTGAAAAGAAGTTTCCGTGCAGATAGCAGAAGTGGTATATGCTGCCATGGACTTGCTATTTTAGCAATAGAAGCTGGGATCTTCTTGGGTGGAGGCGAATGAGTAAGGTAAAAAACAACTTTACCTTTTTTCTTCAAATAAATACTTTTGAAAGTATGTGTACAATCAGAGGAGATGATGCATTACATAAGTTGAATGATTAGTTCCAGGTTTCCAAGGAGGGGAGGGCCCTGGATTCCACTTTTGTTGCCACGAATGCATGCATACCTTTGCCATTGAAAAGCGCACACATTTGTGCGGGTCAGAAATCTTGGGCACCCTCAAAAGTAGGAATAAAAATCCTCTGCCCATGTATATACCCACCAATAGTTTAACGTCACGTGTTAGCGAACTTTAATTAACTTAACAGAAGTTTATCGTCCGTTTGCTTGCACTTTAACTTTTATCTTTTCTTTATGCGACCTGCACCACCCTCTAACTTTAATTTTATATTTTCTTTCTGCAACCGGATCTTCATCCTCTAACTAATGATTACATTGGTAAGTTATTACTTTGATGCCTATAACTATAGCGGATGTATCGAAATTTTTTATGAAGGTCAGACGTCGGCAACGATGCGGTGGTTCTCTAACACCATGTTGATGATTTTGTTTCCGTCATTAGGGTAGAGCGATGACGCCTTTTCCTTTAGGTTAACGACGACACTGTTTTGTTGTCCGCTTGTATTGAATCCGTTGAAAATTTGAAAACTTAAAAACTATTCATGAATCCCAGTAATAGATGAAATACCCAGGGTGAGATGGCATAAATTATGGAGTCAAACTGAACTCCAACAAGAAGAAGAACCCAAATAATAGGTACTGCCAAAACTAGAGCTGGTGGAGGAGCCCAGCCATTGTCCTCTTCTCCATTCCCTTAACCAAACCTAGACTGGAATCTGGTCAAATTCAGTGTTCCCCCTTCGAATGGACTCTATTGAAATTAGGATGCATCCGGTCTGGTCTATCTAATTTGATAAGTTAAAGTTTCTATTTTAATTTGATACAACGTTTTGATAGACATTTTTATTGAATTCAAATTTTAGGATTAAAATCTATTTCTACCCAAGTCGATATGAAATAAATAATTTGTCTCTCATTTCATTAAAAATAGAAAATATAGAGAAAAAATATTATAATAAGGGTTAAAGATCGAACTAATTTTTTATAAGCTGAGTTTAAGGTAGTATCTATTTGATTTTTTTATTTATAAAAAACGTTAGTTTTGTTAGAAAAATGAAATATCCGAATTACAATAAATATTTATAATTATAAACATAAATTAACCATATAATTAGAATATTTTTTATAACAATTAATACAAAAACTAGTCACTTAAGATTACACAATGGTCAAGTTAAAAACTTGACCAAAAAACTCGAACAAAATATAGATTCAAACAGATCGGATCGTATCAATAAACAAACAAAAAAATGAGATAAAGCTACTAAAATATCACTGACAACCTGTAAATCAGAATTAGACAAAGTGAAAAAACAATCTACGAATGCATATCCCGTATCAAAGTTCAATCTGATGGTCCAAAGCAAGGAAGATCAACATGATAACAAATATGTGTCATCTTGATCAGTCGTGGCAATGTCAAATTTAACATTGAGAAAAAATAAACTAAATTAAAAACCAAACGAGCGAAATTGTACCATAAAACATAGATAAACGTATCATGAAAATTAAATTATTGAAAACTAAAAAAACAAGGGAAAATAAAAATGATACAATAAATTAAAGGAAAAACTAGAAACATCGACATCAAGAACCCAGTACAAAGGCTGATATCATCGTCTATCAACCAAAAATGTAAAAAAGAGAGAAATGACTAAGATTTTTGAGAGAAAAACGGTCAGGCTTTTACCCTTATATTTATTAGATATTTTTTCTTAATCAATTGACAACCCGTACCATGCGTACGTGATACAAGAAATTAAAATAAATAATATTTACATTATTTACATTAATTTTTATTACAAATATCTTATAGTTACAAAAACAATAACTAAGGTTCCACTTAATATTTAATCTAATATTTGGTGAAATATAGTAGTCTTAGAAACAAATATAATATATATGCATCCTATAGATATAATTATTTGAATCTAAATTTTTAAAAATAAATAATATTTTTTAACTATTTAAATAACTTAATCGTTGATTAATATATTAAATATGGGTGATTATAGAAAGAGTACAATACATGCAAAACCAGGCCTGGGTTTGACTTTGTAAGCCGAATTTTGGGTTCAATGAAATAAGATCAAAATGGTTTGGTTTTTGTGTTGACCCAATGAGGCATTAGAAAAATAATAAGATAATGCAGTAAAGCCCACTCTATTTCGTAAGTAAAATACAACTGTTTAGGTTGTCCAAGTATTGTTTTGTTAGAAAATGAAAAAGGAAAGTGACCAATCAACAACAACCAAGGGAAAAAAAGGAAGACAATTCTCTCTGGGGGTGCTTATGGAGCGTCGATCACGAGTTGATAGTATTTGATTTGTGTTCGTTAAAAAATTTATTATTTGATTTGACTCGTTGCTCGTAAATTCATTAAAATTGTCCAAGTATTGTTTTGTTAGAAAATGAAAAAGGAAAGTGACCAATCAACAACAACCAAGGGAAAAAAAGGAAGACAATTCTCTCTGGGGGTGCTTATGGAGACTCGATCACGAGTTGATAGTATTTGATTTGTGTTCGTTAAAAAAATTTATTATTTGATTTGACTCGTTGCTCGTTAAATTCATTAAAATTGTGTTCGACTCGTGCTCGTTGAAAAAAAATTACTGCTCAACTCGACTCATTGCTCGTTAAGCTCAAATCATTACTCATTAAACCTACTAAAAAAACTATCTTATTTTTTTAACTAAAAATAAAAGAGAAAATAACCTCAGTGACCAAAAATCCCATATAATATACGATTTTAACCAACTTTTTCCGGATTTGCCAAAATGACCAACAAAATCGTAATGCGATCGCTAATTCGCAACGCGATCTCCATTATCGCAAATTCGCGTTGTATTTTCGCAATGCGATAGTTGAAAATCGCGTTGCGATGGTCTACAGTATCGTTGTGATTTTCCCAATTCGCAATGCGAATAAGTAAATCGCAACGCGAATTGGGAAAATCGCAATGCGAATAAGTAAATTGCAACGCGAATTGGGAAAATCGCAATGCGATACTTACTATCGCAATGCGATAATACAAAATCGCAACGAGATACTTACTTTCGCAACGCGATACTGACTTTCGCAACGCGATTTACATAATCGCAATGCGATTTTCAAAGCGCCATTAGTATCCTGGCCAAGTATTTTATTTTTAAATTCCAAACATGAATATTAATATATTGGAACACTGAACTGTCCACAGTATATCCCGTAATCGCAACTCATAACCTAAAACCTAAAATCACAACTCAGTCCCATCTCCATCTCTCACTCTCTCACCATCTCCGACGAAATCCGTCCCATCTCCGGCGAAATCCGTCTATCTAAATCTCTCAGAGTCACCCTCACAATCAGAAATGGAAAATCAACCAAATCAACAACGAGGGTTAGTTTTTTTAATTATTTCTTTTTGAAATTTTTGCATTATTATTAGGTTTTTCATATTGAAATTGATGATAAGTTTACTGGTAATTTCAATAATAGATTAACCATTTCACTTAGATTGCTTATTAAATCAACCAAAAATCGCAACGCGAAATGCAAATCGCAACGCGATTTAGTTTCGCGTTGCGATAGTCATTTTCGTGTTGCGATTTTCATTTTCAGAAACTATTCTTCTTCTGCAAATTGAAACTTGAATGAATTGCATTACTTCAACCAAAAAACAAAGACAAATACGAAATTCACAGTGTTGCATATTTAAGTTTGAAGAATAAACTACTACTATTTATGTTTATTATTGTTTTTGGTATATCTTCACAGTGTAGTTTTTGGTATATCTAATTAGTATGTTTATTGTTTTTGTAGAACTTTTATTCGGCTCAATTGACCTTGAGAAATAAAGTCAGCCTGGCCAAAACAATTGCGTCGAAGCTTTCACCTGCACAAAGAAAAATGTTTGAGGATACATGCTTCGGGCCATGGCTGAAAGTACAACATCCGGTGGAGATGCGATGTTGACACACCTGTTTCTTCAAACCATGACTAGAGATCTACAGAGACTATACAACGTCGTGATGAAGAGATATGGTTTGATTTTCCACCGGCATACGTGTTTTGGGGGAGGAGTTTTGCTAATCACGGTCTACGCTTCGGACACGATGATGTAGGTCGGTACACTAGACACATTACCCGCCCATCATGGCTATCCCGGG